CTTTTAACTTTATTTTATAACTTTTAACAAATATACATATTATAATTTTATTTAAATAATAAATCAAGTCTTCTTGGTTTTTTGGTAAAGTCTTCAAGAACGTCGGCATAGAATGAATTTTGCGATAAACTATCCGATAGGTCTGTAGATTTAATGTACAACCAATAAGTTCATAAATACTTGCTTTAAGGAATTCTGCCGATGAGTATTACTATGTAATAGAGCAAAATCAAAATACTCTCCATATGCTTCTTTTAGTGAATTCATTGCATTAGTAGGAAATTGTTTAACATACTGATTACATTTTGAAAAATCTAATAATGAAAAGAAATTTAACTGTTTAATATCTGAAAACCTTTCATTCATATTTACAATTTATGTATCTATGATTTCCAAATAGAGTCTCCGATACTTGGTTTTTTTATCCACAAAAACGTCGGTAACTTTTTACCTTTTAGATCTAGTTGCTCCCTCATCAAACCCATTTGGACCTATGGTCTCCAACTCTGGGGAAATTCTAAAAAATCAAATTTTCAGACTTTTCAAAATATTGCATTAAGAAAATTAACAAACACATCCTCTTATGTTTCTAATCATACTCTTCACACAAACCTGAAAATCATAACTGTAAAAGATGAAGCAGTCACTTATTATAAAAGATTTCATAATCGGCTTGCAACTCATTCCAATCCTTTAATTAAAGCTCTTTCAGCATATGTTATTCCGGGTAATCCTCCAAGGCGTTTAAAAGTTAAAACGCAACTGGTGTAGAGATATGCTAACTTAATATTATAATATAAAAAAAAAACAAATAAATAAATTCATATGTGTATATATATAATTTAATGTATAACCTCAATTTTTAAGTGTCATCACTGGGTGGCTGCTTTTATCATGCTTATTCATGTATTTTATTTATCTCACCTAATACTCTTATTGTACCCATGAGGTACCTACAGATTGTGTACATAATAATAAAGGAAAAAAAAAAAGATCTAGTTGGTGTCTCGGAGCTTAAATAATGTTCCAATTTTTCCCAAGTACTGTCAAAATCATTTCTCATAATCTTTAAATGATTAACGAAATCTAAAATTTTTTCGTTGCAGTAAGTCACGTCAAATATTTTTGTTTGCATTATATTAAAAAAAATTGTTGCTCGGGGTAAAAATTTCCGAATATTAAAAGAAAAAAAATTAATATTATAATAATTATCATTCACATTTTATATATTTTTCTTATTACAATCATAATTATTTTTATTTTATGCAGAAAGCAGAACTAAAGTCCGACCTAGATATTATTATAATGATTATCATTCAAATTTTATATTGTTTTAACTTTTATTATTACCTAGGTATTCATTATTATTTATGACACTTTTACAGCTACAGTTAGGTATAGATTTGGGGAATTTTTTTCAGAGTACCATTTCATGTACCTTTTTGGTGAACTAAAGGTGTTATATTAAAAGTATGGAGGTGATTCATTGTAAACAAGAACTTTTGCATAGAGCTACGGATACAAATACTGAAACCAAAAACAGCAATAATCTTTAAGCTCTTTAAAAAAAATTAGCGTTGGTCCAAACCACTAACCAATACTCCAATATTGGTACAAAAGTAGGTTTATTGCATAGGCCTATAGATCTTTATTATAGGTAATAGGTCTATATGGTTATAGCACGTTCAAACAAACAAACTCTACAGCTTTATATAAAATATAGATGCGAGTACTCTTTGCTGCTGAAAAATGTTAGACATCAGGAGTCAAACCAATTCGTTTTCATGTACCTAGATATAAAAATTGTTTTTTTGATGTACGATGTACCTATACACTTTTTGAATGCAAATAGAATTATTATTGTCACATTACTTACCTACTGATTGTATTGTTAATAAACAAAAATAATAATGACTCAATGGTGAATTCAGAATTGTGTTCTATTTGTAATCAAGAAATGTATATATTTTTTAGTTGTACCTATAATGCCATAAATATAAAATAACATTAGTTTAGCATAATATATCTGTGGCTTGGTGCAAGGAAGGCCAATGTCACATTTTGAAAAAATTGAGATTATTTGACCAATGTCATTAAAATCTGCTTATGTTACTTGTGTTAAAAGGGCCAATGTCTCTTAATATGCTGTATGACCAAATTGGAGTTGACATTGGCCTTTTTGACAATAATCGATTTATTATGGGCCTATGTCGACATTTGCCACATATTATCTATAGCACAAAATTGGCCATTTCTAAATCAATTAATAAAGTTTATAAATGTAGAAGTTACTAACATTATGTTCAATTTAATATTATCATTAGGTTTTCATAAAAAAAGTCAAGTTATTTAATTATTAAAAATTGTTTATTTTAAGTTTTAGTTTTTGGCCAATGTCAAACCAATGAAATTTTATTATTTTTTCTGGGGGGCTAATGTCAAGCTAAAACATGTATCTATACTTAAGAATAAAATGAGTCATACAATGAATAAAAACAAATGTAATTAAGTAACAGAATTTTTAGAGTTCAAACATAAAATTTAAGATTTTTATGTAAATTTTCAAAATTGGCCAATTTAATATTTTAAATTCCTGAACATTGTAAAATTAAAATATGACATTGGCCCATCTTGCACCAAGCCACAGATATATATATTTATTTTTATAATAAAACACAATTAACCATTTTACCAAAGTTATTCCCCGGTAAATAATCCCTATCTACGGTCATGGCTTTGAAAAATTATTTGATATTGTCGTCTTTGCTTTCTGATTTATGTAAACCTGTTCATGTTACTTTGTAATGGGGTCGCTTTTATTTCCTAACCTATCAAATAGCTAAAAATAGAAATAATAATGTCATAAATAAAGAACATTTACGATCTATACCACCCACAGTCTTTCTATAACTATTAATAATTATGATTTAAAATAATTTTTATTTTGTCCACATTCCTGTTTTAATTTTTCAAATTGTATGTTACATTGCGTACCTATTCCATTCTATTTTATTAGGTAACATTAAAGGATGTTTCATGTATTGTAAAAAAAAAAAGAATAACAATAATATTGAGAAATGAAAAACGATGAATGAATACTATGCATATTTCAACAGCTGACACAACCAAGAGTTAACAAAATGTTATGAAATTTAAAGTACATAATAACTTACATTATTTATATGAATTTACTTTAAACTAGTAAGTAACACACTTACAATGCATTTCCATAGTAATTTCCTTAGTTTTTATTTACATATATGATATATCTAATATTATCTTAGGTAATATAATTATTTATAACGCCATAATTTTATATATTTTACAATTTAGATGGATTCAATTAAGATTTTACTTAAGAACCATTGAAAATTCTAATCCAGGAATTCCAAATTAATATTTTTGGAGGGACACTTTAAGAATTTGGAAAGTTTTTGGGGGCCATCAAAATGTAGTATACATGTTAATACAAAGAAAATAAAATCAAAAAATTAAAAAGTTTAAAAAATAAATGTTATGTCTGCAGGCCAGATAAATTTCATCCATCCCTTGTCTAATCTACAAAAAGAACCTATTGTAAAATCTATTTATGCTTTTTTGTAAAATGTAGAATTGCGGCTTATATTTAATAATTTAATATAGCAGTTTAATAGCTGTTATAATTTGATTCTATTCAGTACTGGATCAAAAAGATTTAAAATAATAAATTAATAGTATATACAAGCATAAACTATAACCATAATATTTAAAACAGTTATCAGCATTGATTACACATGCCTCATAATATAAAATTCATGGTGTCTAGTAATGAAATATGTAATTTATTTTTTGATTACAAATATAAGAATATTTTTTACAAGCTAAATTTCTAAAAATAAAATATAATTGTGCACTTTAGTTTATTTATAGTATTAGATTCTAATGTCTATTGGTTCAATAATATTAATAAATAACAGTATTGATTTAAATAACTTAATCTATTTTATAGGTTTTAAGAAGTTTTTATTTCATATTATATTTAAATAGGTACATATTATATTAAGCATTATTAATCAATTTCACTCAGACCTTTACAATATTGAAATTGATATTTAAAATTTATTTTTAAATTATTATAATATTTCATCTAAGGTATATAATTTACAAAATGTGTTTAATAATGTTTGATCTAAGTTTTCGATTATTTTTGTCGTTGTTTTATTAATAATAGCAATAATTTAAAATGAGTAAATAATATATAATACTTAAGTTATTATTATTTGGAATTAAAAATTGACATTCTCCAAATAGTTTTAAGGAATAACTTAAAAATAAATAATATACAATATTACAGCAATAATTGGTTATTGTTAAATAAAGTTAATTTTATGTATTTTTATTTGATATACCTCTTAAAATAATTTATTGGTATAAGAAACACACAAAAAAAAATAAATTATACATATTATAATATAATTACAAGGTAATTACAAGGTAATTACAAGTAAAAATGAGCAACAAAAATAAGCAAATACTAACTTAATATTAATGAATCACACAAAAATGACATATTTTGAATTGGCCCCTGGGAATAAATTAAAATTTAAAATAATGACAAATAATACACAATAATAAATTGTAATTCACTTAGTATAAGTACTAAGTAAATTACTGTAATTAGATTTACTTTAATATCTATAGAATTATTGCATTATTAAAAATGTAATTTATATTCTTAACAAAATAATCTATCTGGTTCCTTAAAACTAAAATGTTTATTTTTAAGCCTATAAATGGCTAAAATAGGAAACATGATGTCAACAAATTCTTATAAATATAATGTTAATTACTAGTTGATGAAAATTAACATAAATAGATGAACACTAAGTTGAAGCTATAATATAGCCAAACCAAAGTTGACATATTATTGTAATATGATGTTATGCCATGAGGGACTATAGTCAGTAAATATTTTAGTTTTAGGGTAAAACAAATATTTATTGAAGTGTAAATTAAAATTATTATTGACCATGACGATGAACCCTTTCTACATGAAGGTCAAATAATAATCTGTTGCTCTCATAGTAAAACGGATTTTGATCGGAAGTCAGATCTGGATCATAATGTAAATTTTGTGGGTCTTCAACTCTAATGTTTTGTTGACTATTTACATCTGGATGACTATAATCAGTAGCCGTTTGCTGGCTATATTGTGCTGATGTGGAAGCGTTCTATAAACCGGGTTTTAAAGATTGTAAAAATTAGTATTATAAAATATTAACTAAAACAAACAATTTATATTCTTTATAATGTATATTATATTATAGATAGCATATTTCTGGAACAGGTATATTAGTGTTGTGAGCTATACATAGAAAATGTATTTTGCTAAGAAATCTGATAGTGGTCTGATTTAACCTGATACTGGACTTCACCATACTTACTACTTTTATCAATTCTCTATAAACTATTTACTAAGGTTTTTAATTTTAATTTTACCTTTAAAGTACTTAAAATCAGACTGTTGAAGGTTAAAATAATACAGTTTATTATTTAACTTAAATTCTAGTAATTATATCACAGCAATACAATGTGAAAAATATTTTTCTTTAGGAGACATACTTAATAACTCAGAACTTTTCTACTTTATCAGACACCCCTTGTGTTGGCCTTATTTTTTGTGAGGAGGAGGGGGGAGTTGGTCATTTACTAAAACTATTTTTACTGTATATCACATAATTTATGGTATTAATGAAAATATGTAATAGTTAATAAATAACAATAAGTAGGTTACAACTTTACAAGTAAATATTGATATAATACATCAGTATATCAGTATACATTAGTATATAACCATCAGGTTAAGAACCATTTCATAACATCAACCTTGAAGTACTCTTTGCAAAATCTTAAATTATGATTGAATTCAAAGTAGTATTTATTAAGTAAGTACTTAAAATAAAATTATACTGTAGTGGAAATTAAAACGATCCATAAATATCGAAATTATGATAAAATATGATAATTGTACCATTAACAGATATCAATTTGAATTTTAGATCATTTAAATAACAAAGAAAATACTTACACCGTAGGCGTTTGTAACTCCTGAATGGTTTTCGCCGGAAAGTGGACCATCTTTCAAATACATGCTGTGCATTCGTTTAGACAGAGGTTTATAATCATCATCATATTCTTCTAATGGTCTTTTCCTAAACAAAATGATTATATTATTAACATATTCAAGCGCCTAAATAACGCAATTTCGTTTGATTAAATTATTAATATCTTACCTTAAAACTCGCAGAGTATCGGCAGCCATTTCAAAATATTTTGACGTTTACTGAAATAAGTTTAAAAATATTTTTTAAGAAGTTTTCAATATTCAGTAGAGAACTTTAAATGATATATCCAAATTTTCTTTATTTTTATATAGACAATAGACACGTGAACGTGGTGATTTTTTTAGTTACGTTTATTCTACACTGAAGAGAACATTTTAAACAAGCGAAAAAGTCGTATTAAGCAATCATTTAGGGAAGAAAGAAAAGAATACGTAATACGAATTACCCACGTTCACGAAACGTCTGTAGAGTGTAGACTGTAACTCTTCAAGAGAGTTCGATACTTCGACTTAAAAAATAAATACACACGATAATGAAAATCATATGCTCCTTAATCAGTGATTACTTCATGGTGATAACGCTGGAAACTAGTATGGCGATAACCAAGGTTTATAGATTATACAGGTTGCCTCATTTTGAAAATATCGAAAAAACAGGAGTGGGAGAAAATGGCGCTGTGACGTCATCGTCGTACAAACTATAAACAATGACAAGTGTTTCATATTATGTTTTTATGTAGTTTCGTACTTTCGTTTCGTTTATTTATTTAAATAAATAGTGTTTTAATTTGAATAATTATGGCTACGAATGAAATAAATAAACCTTAAGGTGGTTCTGTTTGCGCGGTATCTACTTGCGTTAATTATTCTGCAAAATCGAAAAATGAAGGGAGAACTGATATTTCATTCCACAGGTAAATACATTTGATTTTTATATTATTACTTTATTCAATCTAGCTATTATAACAATAATAACATAATTACAGTCAATCAAAGTTCACCAACTTTGATTAATTTAAAAAAACTTGGCAAATACAATGAAATTAATACATTTTTTGAGTGTATTATGAAATCAATAGGTATTTACCAAATTTATAAATTTAAAGTTTATAATATCATAGTTGAATATATAATATTATTACTTAAATTAAATGTTTATTCACTTTTTTGCTCATAATACATTTGTTTTGAGGTAATTTTTAATGGCTGTTTAGTGTTTATTTTAATACAGCTTCAGTAGAAACCCCTATTACCAAAATATATAAATATTTAACTATTTTAGTGTACACGGTGTACAATTAGTTGTCTAAATTATATATTATAATTAATTTCAATGTATACCTTAAATAAATTTTTGTGTAGACCTAGCCAATCTTGAGCAAAATACTTCAAAAGTAATAAAATTACAATTACTTATAGGTACTTTTCTGAAATGTAAGCTTAAACTTAAATGTAATTAAGTTACTTTATATTTGAAATATGAAATTAATATACTACTTTTTAAATTTCCCTATACTAGACCTATAGTTCATCTAATTTTATGGTTTAAAAATATGTCTTATATTTAGGTTTCCAAAGGACCTGTTTTATCAGAAAATTTATTAGTTTTATTAAAAAAAAAACAAAAAGCAAAAGCACAACTACAAAAATTGCAGAAATTTAGAAGACTGATGACATAGGGCATCTTGCGACTGAATTTTTTTTTATTACAGAGTCATTAACACATTCATATTATTATTTATTAAGCAAACAAATTGAAATGTAAATACTTTATTTTGATTGAATTTTTTTATCATTTAATTTCTTGAAAAATATGTTAACTCATTATAATTATGTTTATGTTTAACATCCTCCCTTAAAATAATTTGTGTTATTATTAGCATTTTGAAATTAGCATTTTTATGTAATACAAATTTAAATATATTATACTTTGACTGCATTTTTTATAATCATAGCCTGTAAAAAAATATCAATTTATAGTAATATGGGTATTTTGTGCATTGTTATATTAATTTATTAAAATGTACCTACCATACCAAGACTGATTTTTCTTATTTTGGTTAGTAAAAAATATGAATTATTATTCTAAAAATAATGTTTTTATTATTATATACATATTTTATATATTAAATGTATTACCACAACTCGCAAGTGATTATTTTCTTTATTATTGTTAAAAATATATAAAGATTTTTCTATAATTTATTTTGTTTATTAATTCATTTAATACATTTATAGGAATATAATTCCTTTTAAAATAAGACTCATTATCATATTGGAAATTATTTATTAATTTATTCTTTATAATATTATACAAAATATCATTAAATATATAAAATAGGTAACTAAAAATTATGAAATATTATTGACAATGATAATATAAAAATAAAAATAAGTTAGACTAACTTCTTTACTCGACTATTATTGTAAAAAAGTGCATATAATATTAATGACAGGTTTCGAAAAAAATTCATCAGGTATAAAAATAAAAAAGCGTATAATATTATATCATATTATAATATTAATAATTTTAGTTATATTCTAAAATGTACATTTCGAAAAAATAAACTTTCTATATATTTTCAGAAAGAAAAAGAGTAAATAATTGTATGGCGAATACGTATAGAATATGGCAGGCCGCCGATTTTGTACGACGATGACGTCACATGGCTGGGAATGGTGCGGGGGGTTCGAGTTTGTTTACATGACTATGAGGCAACCTGTATAATCTATAAACCTTGGGCGATAACAACGGTGGTCAGCTGATAGTTATAAAATATGTACTTTGAACCGTGGTTACCACCTTGATACCTCTGTTATTTAATACTCTTTTGTATTTTCCAAAGGCACCACGGAATATTTGAATATTGTTATAATATTCAGACAATAAAATTGGCCAAAGGAGCATTAACAGGGTTGTGCCGTTATGGTCCAAAATGTGACTTACCTACCGTCAATATGTGATATACCGTCAACATCTGACCTACTTTGCTATAAAAATGTCGTTTTAATTCCATAAAGATATTCTTCAAAGATTGTATACTTCTATGGATGTGAGGAAAGGCTTTCGCAGGAGGGAGCTGGAGAGGCCATTGCACGCCTGAGAATTTTGAACTGCGTGTACTTACTGTGATATAATTATCACTATAACTATTATAAGATTATAACTAATAAATAATTCTTATATCTTTCCCCGGATGGGATTTTATCCTGCAGGAGCGCTTGGATGTAAGGAACGCCACCATACCTCCAGAAGCTGTCCCCTACCTACATATCAACATAGAAGCACAATTGGTTCGAATTTTGAATTGATTTTTTGACTTGATGTGTTGTCATTAAATGCGTCCAAAACCATACCAATATTTCATAATTACCGTTAAGCTTTACTGACTGATACATTTGCCATTTAAAAATCAGTATAGGTAAACAAATAGAGTAGTTTTATAGAAATAGTAGAGTCCAACTAGTACATTACATTATTCAAACATCCAAATCCTAATGGCCTAATTACATTAGAAATAATAATTGAATAAATTTAATAAATTGTTAAATTAGAATTGTTATTATACTGTTGGCCACCAAGAAAAAAGTAAATAGTAAAATATGACATATAAATTAATTATTAAACAATAAACATTGTATATAAACTAGGGCTGGTGAGTGGTGGTATTTCCGATAATTACCGGTATCTGATTTATTTTGAATTTGAGAATACCGTTATATCGTGAGTTGGTAATAATACCGTTGTTACCGAAAATAAAATAATATAAATGTCCGTCCTCAATATAAAAGGCCCCAGTGCTCGAATTGGGGGAGGGACGCAGGGGCTCCCCTACTATTTTTTTTTTACTTGGACAGAGGGACGGTACAAACTAATATCCGAAATATTAAATAATAGTATTACTCCATGTATTACAATTTCGTAAAGTTTACGACGTAAACAATAATTCTGTATATTTAGAACTCATAATATAATGTACCACACTACCACGCATTCATGTAAATTATATTTTAGAAATATTCTATTAAGCTTTTACAGGTTTAAGTGTTCCTATACCAACATTAACATAACAGCTTGGACTTACTATAGCTCCATATCTGCTGATAGCCAAATATTATGTAGGCAACTTAATATCAATATTTATAATGTTAACAATGTATATTTATTTGTCATTTCTAAAAATCTACATTTTTCAAAAATATACTTACCTATATAGGAAAAAAAAATTATGATAGATAACAATTAATCATATTACCTATACCTAATAAGTTTTAATACAATTTTCATTTGTTAAAATGTTTAATTTTTCTTTATAAATATCACTTAGCTTAGAATTTTAGTATTGTAGGTACTTAACCCAAACTTATATATCCCCCAACAGAAACATTATGCTAAAGGGGAGTTTCAAACATTTTATAACTATTAATATTTATTATATATTTATATCATTGTATGTGTACCTATATACCTACTTATTTGACATTTGTTTAGCTAAATCAATTTTATATTATTATTAATATTTTTATTGTTCTTAATTAACATCAGATACAATGGCCATAAGTTACAATTTACAATTAAAATTTTTAAATTTTATTTTATAGTTTAGTTTTGTGTAAGAATTTAAAAACTTGTGTGGTGGTGTCTACGTCTGGTCCGAGTGCTGCGTCTGTAATTATTATTGTCTGTTAGTATATTGCAATTTGCAATAGATGTTCATCTAAATACTTTAAGGACTACCTAATTTTATTATATTGTTAGTCACCGGAACAAATTTATGATCTAAAATTCCCAGAAATATCCTACCCCCTTCCCCCCCCAAGTAAGTACCTCTAAATATTCACACATGGCTTTTAGGTTTGAATTTAAAACGAATAAACAGTTTCTGCTTACTAGTAAGTAGTAATAAAATATATAACTGACAAAAAAAGTTACTAATAATTTATTATTGTATTTCATGGAATTTAGAACCACGAATTCATGATGAATTTGAATTCGTTGCATCGCGTGTTTGCAATTTAAGATTTATTATTATTATAAGAAATATTGAAATGTCCATAATGCAGGAACAACACATGATAGTGTAGATTCTACTTTCAATTTTCATATAGGTACCTGAGCACAATGCACTTATACCTATATGCATCAACGATATTTTGTTTGCAAACTGGAGTTCAATGCTTAATGTATTTTTATAATA